CCCCCCCCCCGTGTTACCTCCCACCCCGCTGCCCCACCATCGTCCGCCATGTCGAGCGACGAGCCAACGCGGGCCTTGTCGCACGGCATACTCTTCCAGCACTTTATCCCGCGCTACCTGCGGCATCCAGCCGTGCGCGACTTCCTGATGAATGACTACTCACCTACGGCACCCGCCTTCGCCTCGTCGGTGCATGCGGCCATGTCGTATGCCTGCATGTACGTCCCGCCGTCCGCCGTCCCGCGCCACACCGCCCCATACCCGCCCCCGACACCCTTCCTGGACATCGGCGACTTCATGCTGTGCGAGAACGTCATCGACGGCATCGCCGTCGGCCACCTGTACAACTCCATGCCCGAGCACGCCTTGGCCGTGCAGCGCGACAAGATGCTTACGGGCTCGACCCTGTCGCGCAAGCCCACGGCTCGCAAATTCGCCGTCGACCTGCGCGTGCCCAACCTGGAGATCATCGAGTTCGCGTGGATGGAGGACCACTCGCTCATCATTTCTTGCCGCCGCCTCGACCAGACGAGCGGCCCCGCCGCGGACGGCGAGCTCGTTCTCTCGGGGGACCTCCTCTTCTACGGCGTCATCCCGCCCTCCAACAACCTAGGCGTCCCGCTACTGCGCATGACCTTGTGCGAAAAGCCCGCCATCTGCCAGTTCTGCCGCGTCCGCGGCATCAAGACCTGTGAGTGCCCCGCATCGTTCAAGTGGCGCGCCCCGACCAAAAGCGCAGTCCCCGTCCCGCTGGCCCACGCCCCCTTCGCAAACGCCGCAGATACGACCCTGCGCATCGCACCGCCCGCGCCAGAGGGACGCGCAGGGCATTCTTTGGCCGCGTGGCAAAATCATACCAAGCGCATCTTCGCCGTTAATACCTCCGGCGCTTTCTTTGTTGACTGGTATAAGAAGTCACCTGATGGCTCCAAGATGTCGCGCTTCATGAGCCCGGTGCATCCCGTGTCATACCAGTTTGTGTGCGGGACCAAGCAGCAGACTGACTCGTTGGCCTCGTTTTATGTCACCAGAATGGCCAGATGTGAGAGGGCCACTTCCGCCGATTCTAGATTGTATGGCTCTCTTTCCCGCGGCTCGCACATTGGCATGATTGTCGATAAGATTAACCACCAACACATGGACACCGATCCTTCGCACCTGCAAGATGTCGTTACCTATTTTGACACGGAGACCCCCAAGTATCCCATGTCGGCCTATCCTCACGTGCAGTACGATCAGCAAGTCTTCACGACCAGTGGACCGCAAAGTTTCGGCGACGTCAGCAGTACCAATCCCTCCTTAGATTCCGACGACTTCGTCCCTTCCCCAGCCATGCCATTGCAAGACCCTCATGCGCTTCATAACACGCCCAAGTCGACGAGCACTACCATCACAGGCGATTCGTCGGGCCTTTCGAATGGCGACGTCGCCTCCAACAGTCCCTACGAATTTGACAATTACAAGCAACCAGAGTATTTCATGGACGATGTTGTGCCATCACAAGACCCAAATTCGCTCAACGCACATGGTGTTCATGGTTTGCCTGAAGGGGCAAGTCTGTCTCGAAACATGCCCAACAATTCAAACGGCAACGCACAATATATGGACAAAGCCGGCACCTTGTCTACAAACGACATCAAGGTGCAGAACTTAATGACTGTGGATGAGGCAAACACACCCATGTGCAAGAAATGTAACAGCACGTTCCTGAAAAGGGGAAACCTGGGCAGACACATTCAGACCGTACACCTGAAGCTCAAACCATTTCAATGTGATCATTGCAGCCAGTCTTTTGGATACAAGAATCATCTCAAGCGACATCAAATCATTCATCAGCGGGGAAAAGATTTGAAGTGCCGCATTTGCAGCCTCCAGTTTAAAGGGCAAGCGCAATTGACCAAGCACGTTCAGTTGGAACATCAGCAAGGCTCGCCAGATTCACAGGGAGGTTACCATTCCAGCGTTGCGGACCGCCCGCACATTTCGTGTGATGATTGCGGAACACGCTTTTCCCAGCGCTCCAATTTGGTGCGGCATCTTCACATCCATGAGGGTATGCGCTTTCCGTGTCCTGTGTGTCCGAGCAAGTCATTTGGCCAGCGATACGACTTGCGCCGTCATGTTTCTAGCAAACACCCAGATTATTCAGGATCACAATTGGCTTCAGTCGCTCCCCAACGAGTGGAAAGAGTCGAATAGGGTTTTTTTTTTCCGAAATGAGGAGCACCAAGAGGGGGAGTGTGACGGGCCCACAGGGTCGGGACGGTGTAGAAACTGGGTTGATGTTGTAAATATTACTCATGCTTTTCAAAAAAACCAAGCAATCACCTATACTGTACACGCTATGCGTACTCTGCGGTACACTCTACTACGTTACTACGGCACAGTACACTCTATCTGCGACGTTTTTCGCGCAATGTATACACACTCTTCTGTACGCTATTAGGTACAATACACTCTGTATGCGACGGTTATTTCGAAAGCTGGATCAGGGATGAAACTTGTATCGTCGCCTTTAATCCTCTTTAATGCGAACGCCATTACGTTTGAAGTGCCCAGTCTGCGCGATCCGTTGACCAGTCCTGTTATCAAAAAACTTGTTTCCACGGAGACCAAGCACGAAACCGGTAGCCAGTTGAAAGAATGCCTTTGGGATGGTCAGAAACTGGATATACGTCTTGGACTTGTCGCTGCGCACGACCGAACGAATCCTGGGAACTAGGTTCTCCGCCACCGTTTCTGGTTCCTCAGCCAAGAAGTTAAACACCTTTCGGGCAATTGGTTCTTGATTTTCGGCGAGCAACAGATCCGTCAAAACCATCCCCGGTGACAACGTGTGAAACCGCACGGGATCACCCTTGCCTTCAATCGCAAGAGATGCGACCAGCTGCGGAATACTGCGTTTCGTCGCCCCATACGCGGCGTAGTTCGGCGTCGTGTTCCCGCGAGATCCACTTCCATCCATGATGAACACGTGCAAGGGCTGACTCTGATTCTTCGCGACCCGCCACGCCTCCTTCGCGCAAAGCATCGGACCAAGGAGATTGGTGCTGACCACGTTGGCAAGGTCGTTTGCCTCAGCGTCTCGGATGGGACCGCGGGGTCCAGTGGTTCCTGCGTTACAAATGAATGTGTTTATGGTCCCCAGATTTTCCGAGGCAAAGTCAGCGAGCCGTGCCACATCCAAATGCTTAGATACGTCGGCAACGCATCCGAAGACTCTTGCCGTTGGGTATTGCCGGCGCAACGAGGCGACAGTTGAGTCAACCGAGTCTGGTGTCCGCGAACTAATCACAACGCCATCGTTTTGCTTCACAAATTCTTCCGCCAGTGCCCTACCGACTCCTTTTGTTGACCCAGATATCACTACGCCGAGACTCGACGATGATACAGATGGCAGGGAGCCCCCACCACCACTCATCAGCGGAGTGCGATATGAAAATCTTCCTTGAACGGCACTTGTCTGAATCACAGGCCTACCAAATAAGAGAGGGACAAAGCCGAGCTTCATAGCAACCAAAGGCATACCCTACGCTGCACTCCCCACGTAGATAAATAATGATTCAGGTGAGTGGACTTGTTGCCTATGATCTGGCAGTGTTTTTGCAGCGGAGATTTTGCAAATACTGTTCAGTTTTTTTTTTTTTGCAATGCTGTGCTTGATTCTTTATTGCCCTGCCCATGACCACATACTGCGGGTTTTCTGTGGAGTAGCACTGGAGACGATGCGATTGTCTTAACGCGTCCTCTTTCTTTTTATCGCTCTTGTGAGTTTATCGTACTGCTTCGTAACGGAAATTTCCACCAAGCGCTCGTCTTTTCGGTCGATGAGGGTACGGTTAGTTTTGCGAAGCGCGTCCATGGTAGTGACATCGACTGCCGCGCACACAGAGATCCCGCCGTGACCCTTTCCGACTACCGCGTGTTCGGGCGCAATACAGCTGTGACATGCTGGTGTCGCCGCGTGCCAATTGTTTGATGGGACGGGAAAGGCGAAAGCTTTCGCCCACCGCGATCGAGAGAAAATGCTGAGACGAAGTCCATTGCCTGCGGAAAAGGTGCGTTCACGAGAAGCCTTCAAACCAATTGTAATACGTTTTGTTCGCCAAGTTTTACACACTTGTACCCTTGAGGCATGCGCACGCAAGAGAGATGCCTTATTTCACTGTAATATGCATCTCGCTGGCAATTATACAGGCCTCATAGGACAGGATACGCCCGTCTCGCCGACACGTTATCACCGCAGATTCCGTTCATAGGAAAAGACATTCCGTGACGCAGTGGACGATAGGATGAAGAATCAGTTGACACTGCAAGCCTACGAAGCCCCCGGGTTCCCGCCAGGGAAACAAAGCAAGGTACCGAACGAAATTAACAGCTTAGCTTAGTGTAGTTTTTTTCTTTCTGTATCCACCTCTTTCTTTTTCCTTCACGGGCCCTGCTCGTTCTTCTGCCAACTGAAAACTTGCTGTTTCCTTTAAAGTTTACATGTTTGCAATTTGTCGACAATGATGACGAACACAATGATAACAACACAGGTCGAACCCCGAGGAGGCGGGGATGAGAAACTGGGGGTTTTTTTTTAGACATTGCCCCCATTAACACTTCTATGCTTTTTAGTTTCCCGTTAATTTGGTTTGAAGCAAGCGTAAACTCTTTGAGGTACCGTTTACATGATATCATCAAAATGAGGTAGCAAGGATTCGAGGTAACAAATTATCAAATTGTCGCAATTCAAAATAATAGTTTGAATTGCGACAATTTGATAATTATAGGCCAATCTAGGAACTTACAAGAATAGACCACAGGACAGAACCGCCACGACAAGTATTCGCCAGATTCGCATCAGAAGAAACCATTTCTTCGTCCCTATCAAGGTGGTAATCCGGTCCGTGATTTGAGAAACTACTTGGAAAAGACGCTACCTCCACCTCCACTTCATTCTCTGCTCTTTCAATCGAAGTGAGGCAAATAATGCACTGGCAGTAGAAGAATACCCATCGTGACAGTGGAAGGCGAGAGCCTTTGATAACAACAGTGAAACTACGAGTGATTTACTTCCTTGAAAAAGCATGGATACTATATCCGAAAAGCAGCAATAGAATCTGCAATCTGGGCTCGCTATGTAATAAAGACCGAGTGGATCATTGTGGATCAAAAATCGGTACTATCGTTGCTTTTCAAGAACAGTGAGAACGATGTCTTGAAAGACAATCGGACGGTCCGCGTTGATGGATTCTCTGTACTATATTGTTGTGCTGCAGTGCAATGTGCAAGCCTGTTTCGATAAGCACTGTTGAAGGCCTAAAGTATTGAAAAATGATGAACCATTCGTTTTTAGTTGTCTCACCCTACGTGGAAATCACGTGTCACAAGTCAACGAAGGGTGGCTCGCAAAGGCAACGATCGTTCATGAAGCGCACCACTGCGGTTACTTTCTTTGACAGACAGTCATCATGTGACGGCAGCACAGAACTTAATGAAAATCAGAAGCGGTGCGTTTCGGTGAAGTGTCGATATGCGCCCTTCTATAAACTAATACGAAGGCAATAAAAGCCATTCTTCGAAACTGGCAGAGTCGTATCAAAACTTCAGTTTACTGACCTGTTCCCGACTTTCAAGTGTATATACATGGTAGTTAGTAAGACGGAACGGTAATATGTTCCCGAAACAATTGTTGCTAAATCCATTCTAAGATCTGCACAGGGGTGCTTTCCCCTTCGCGCTGTGGAGAAACAAGAACAAAAAGTTGGCTATCCGCAAGCTTAGAGCCCCAAAGCCGGGAGGCTCCGGCCCCTTAAATAAGTCAAAAGGCAAAAATGAGGTGTTGCGCGTTGTCCGTGTACCAAGAGTTCCCTATGACGCCTCCACAGTCATATCGCTCTTTGGCGGCGGTGCATACCGTTCCGCACTCGGGTGTTGCGGCGCCTGTGAGAACGGGGGAAAATTGCCCCCCTGCCACACAAACAGAGACCAAGTAACTCGCAGGCCGACCAGGGACAGGAACAAGGCGAGGGACAGGACCAGGGCCATGCCCAGAAACGAGACGAAGAGGTCATAATTGGCCTCGATGGCGCTCTTCCCCTCGGCGCCGCACGCGATAAACTCTATCTGGCCGCTAAACTCGATGAGCCTTGAGCAGTTGAGATAGGCGGTGATCTCGTCGCGCGACCAGGCAGCGGTGTCGGCGAGCTTCTGCGGGGCGATGTCGAGGATGATTTTGACGCTCTGTGTGGCGAAAGGGCTCTGCAGGATGGATTCGATGGTGCCGTTCATCTGCTCGGCCACGCGGGTTGCGTCGACGGTGGTGGGGCACGTAGCGCCGGCGTTGATCAAGGCGTTTTCGGGAATGTCTGCAGCGGCGAGCGTGCCCGACAAGACCTGGCGATAGTCGTTAAACATGACGCAGACATCGGACAAGACGGCGCCCACGGCGGACGTGATGCCGACCATGGTCCACGCGAGAAAGGGGGGGAAGATGAGGATGAGGATGTGGACAAAGACGCGCCACGGGCGCGAGCGCTTCCCCAGCGGCATGGAATCGAGAAGGAGGAGCAGCACGGGCGCGAGGAGGAGCAAGAGACAAATGGCGACGAGGACGCCCGAGGCGAGCGCGATGGCCTTGCGTGTGGCTTTGAGCACGTCGGTGATGTCCTCGAGCAGGACCTCGATCGAGTCGGTGAGCGGGCCGAGGTCCGGGTACACGCTTGTGATGTATTCCGGCACGGCGCGGAGGGCCGGGAGGTACTGGTCGGGCAGGGCGGCCGTCAGAGGCGTGTCCTCTTGCGCGGCGGCCGAGAAGCTGAGCAGGCGGTTCTGGACGTCGACGGCGACGTCAACGAAGGCGTAGCCCACGCGCGAGACGTCCGCGACCAGGCCGGAGATGACGTCCAGGGCGTCGCGGAAGGCGAAGTTGGCAGCCGTGACCGAGGATATGCCCAGGGCGATGAAGAGGAAGATGACAAAGGTGAGGGCGACGGAGACGAGCAGGGCGAGGAGCGTGGCGCGGCGCGTGCGCGGCGGGGTGAGGAGGCGGGCGTCCACGGAGGACTCCTTGCATGTGTAGCGGATGGTGAGCAGGACGAGGTAGAGAAGGACGAGGAAGACGGCGAAAAAGGCTGGGATGAGGGCCGTGAGGGCATTGCGAGCGACGTAGTCGGTGGTGAAGTCGAAGGCACGGGCCGCGCCCGGCCAGCGCGGGGTGGAGCGGAAAAAGGAGACGGCGGAGGAGGGGGCGATCGGGAGCAGGAAGTCTGCCTCGGGCTGTACGGAAGCCATGACGGGCGGGGTGGTAGGGGTGCGGGGGGGGGACGGGGAGACGGGGGGGGGGTGTGTGAGGGGGGAAGGGTGGGGTTTAGTCGGTTACGGAATAATGTACGCGTACTGTACAGCGATGTTGCGGCGGAATGGGCTTGGTCGTTGTGGACAACCAATTCAAACGTGTCGCCGAGCGATTGGCCGCTTACACTGCCCTGATTGCTCACGTGCCACCTTTTCTCTCGTGAGCCCATCCTCCACGCCTCCTCCCCCTCCTCCTCCTCCTCCTCCTCCTCCTCGCCCGCCCCCCCGCCCCCACCCATCCCCCCCTCCCACCATCCCCCCGTCCTCCATCACCGCGCCTCCACGCCAGCGCGCTGCATCACCCTGCGCTTCTCCCACGCGTCCACGAACCGCGTCAGCTCCGCCTCGCCCCCACGCACCGCTTCGCGCACCTCCTCGAACCAGCTCAGGTAGTCCCACAAGTTATGCGCGGCCACCAAGCTCACCGCGCACATCTCGTGCACCTCGAACAGATGCCTCACATACGCCCGGCTCATCCCGCGACACACCCCGCACGCGCACCCCTTCACCAGCCCGCCCTTCTCGCGCATCCACTTCCGGTCGCGGCAGTTGACCCGCGCCCCGCCGCGCACGTCCGTCGCGTACCCGCACGCCGCCTGCTCGAACGGGAACGCGCTCTCCACCACGTCCACGCCGCACTGCACGGCCCCCACCACCTCGCCCGGCCCGCCGTGCCCGCCGCCCAGCACGCGCACCCCGCGCTCGCCCAGCTCGCCCACGGCCGCCGCCACGCACCGCCACCGCGTCTCCCCGCTCTCCCCCGCGTACAGCCCGTCGATCGAGTACCCCTCCACTGCCTCCGTCGCGCGTGCCGCGCGCGCCGCCTCCCGCCTCACCTCCTCCACGTCCCCGCCGCCCACGGACGCCAGCACCCCTCGTCCCGCCCCGCGCGCCAGCGTCTCCGCGAGCTGCTTCTCGCCCCGCGCCAACCGCCGCCGCACCGCCTTCTCGCTCCGGCTCGGCAGCGACATCGCGTCGGCCGCGGCCGTCATGTACCGCGTGCCGAACGTCTCGTGCAGCGCCACCACGTCGCCCGGCGCGATCGCGCACCGCCGCGACCCGCCCGTCGCCGTCACGTTCGTCGACTTGCCCGCCGTGTCCGTCGCCAGCTGGTCGCTCCCCGCCGCCCGGTTGCACAGGAACAGAACGGCGTCCGCCTGCCCGCAGTAGCCCGCGATCCCGCCGCTGTACGCTTGCTTGTATTGCCCGGTGGACGCGTCCGGGAGAGTGCCGGCGCGCTCCGACAGGGCCGAGAGTAGCTCTGCGCCGTGTAGACCGGCGTTCGGGTTCAGCGTATGCCAATCGAGTAGCGGCAGCTGGAGGAGCAGCGGGGCTTGAGACGGCGGGAGCGCGAGGTGGAGTAGCTCGCGCGGGAGGTACGGCAGCTGTCCGCGCCGCGTCAGGAAGAGGGGGGCTGGCGTCGGTACGGGAGGCAGCCCCGGAGTCGAGATCACGTTTGTACGGGCGGGCATGCTGGATCGAGGGGGAGGCAGAGCGTCGCGATGGTTGACGATCGGGGTGGGCGAGAACCCGGGCGGGGGCACGTTGCCGTGTTGTAGATACGTACGTAGAGCTCTGCAAATTCAGAGGAAACGGTGGGCCGCCTACCGTCAAGAGCGTTTTTGACCCTTGTGCTTCTAGTCGGCCTTCCCGCCCGTGGCCCGCCTCTGTACTCTCTCGCGGCCATTCGCACCGCCCCATCATGTGCTGACTCTCCCTTCGCGCGCTCCATCTCTACCCGCCGCCCGCCGCCGCCGCGCGCGCCATGATGCCTGCGCTGCAGCCGGCACACGAGGGGCTGATCGCGGCGCTGCTGCAGGGGCGCCTGGGCGTGCGCCGCGTGCTGCGACAGTGGTCGCGCGACTGGAAGCGGCGCGACGCGCGCGCGGTGTTCCTGGACGGCGGCGAGGGCCACGCTTCCGACGACGCCCTGGGCACGTCGTCCAAGCACCGGCGGCGCAACCCGGCGTGCCTGCCCGCGCGCCCACGCGACGCACCGCCCACCTCCAACGCGCTCGTGGCCGCCGTCCTGTTCGCTGTCGCGCTATGCGTCAGGGGCTGGGGCATCTCGTTTCCGCCCAGCGTCGTGTTTGACGAGGTCCACTTTCTGCGCTTTGTCAAGGCGTATTACTATGGTCGCTACTTTTTTGACATCCACCCGCCGTTGGGCAAACTGGTGCTATTGCTTGTGACCAAGCTGTTCTGCAACCCGCCGCGCCTCGACTATAAGGTCAATGGCGAGCAGTTTGGGGAGCAGATATACACCCCGCTGCGCTGGACTAGCGCGCTGTTTGGCTCGACCATCGCCCCAGTGACGTACTTGATCTGCCGGGAGCTCGGCCTATCGTTTCCGGCTTCGCTCGTGCCGGGCGTCGCGTTTGCATTTGAGCATCTCACTGTCATTGAGAGTCGGCTAGTACTCCTTGACGCCCAGCTCATGTCGTTCATGGCGCTATGTCTGCTGTTTGCTCTCAAGCTGTGGGGAGCGAGGAAGGGCACGGCAAGGAGGCGCCGCTTTTTGGTGTTGACGGCGCTGAGCGGCGCGGCTGCTATCGGCGTCAAATGGACGGCGCTGGCGACGCCGGGACTCGTCGCACTCGTATCGCTGGCTGGGCGTCCTTTCCCGAGGGAAGGAAGGCTGCAATGGGGGGAGATGGGCCTTGCGGGTATGATAGCGTCAAGCTTTTATGTCTTGTTGTTTGCGGTTCATTTTATGTTGCTACCCCATTCGGGGCAGGGCGATGCGTTTATGACGGATGAGTTTAAGATGAGTCTTGTGGGAAGTTCTCTGTATGTCGAGGGATTCAAGGGGCCGGGGTTTGTAAGAAACTTTTTGTATTTGAACATGGAGATGTATACGGCCAACGCACATATCAAAGCTAGGCATCGATGGGAAAGCAAGTGGTATCAATGGATTATGAATCAGCGAGGATTGTTGTATTTTAACGAGTTGGATGATGAAGTCACTAACTTTCAAAAGATTTATCTCATCGTGAACCCAGCTGTCTCCGTGATGTCGCTTGTGGCAATTCTGGGTTTCGTCTTCATCTTGTTCTGTGTATATTTTCCAAGAAAATGGTCTGGGCACCTTCATCCGAGAAGTCGACTACCGGCATTCGCGGTGAGAGGGTTGTTTCTTCTGATGGGCTACGTCGTCAATATCCTACCCTATGTTGGTACGTATCTACAATCATTCGGCGAGTGCATGGCAGTGGCGTTTTTCGTTTTCGTCGTATATTGTCATCTCCCCATTGTACATTGTGCTCACGCAATAGCTCCTTCTTGTTCTTGTTCTTGTTCTTGTTCTTGTTCTTGTTCTTCTTTTGTATCTTGTTCAACTCTCCGTCCTAATTTCTGTTGAGCATGCAGAGGTCGCTCGTTGTACATTTCTGTACCATTACTTGCCGCCGTTATTTTATGCCCTGCTGAGCACAGCCAACCTCATCGATTTGATACCTAAGGTGGGAGCGCAGAGGATGGTGAGCGGATTTTTCTTTGTCATTCTTTTTGTGACGTTTTTGATCTGGAGCCCATGGATTTACGCCTCGCCGTTGACTCCGGCAGCTCACAAATGGAGGCGATTGTTTGGGGATAATTGGGCTTGAGGCATCATGCAACAAGGGAAGCCGTTTCGGTCGGAGAGATACAGTACATAATGTGCGATGCGGCTACATCTGCAACTTTTGCGCAACTTTTGCGTGAGGCTGGATCACATGTGTCTAACCCAACTGAAGAAAAGTCTGCATGCGCTGCGACCCAAACGAAAAGGCTTGTGGTTTGTTGCTTGGAATTCTCAGCCAGACGGGGTCACGCACTAGGGTAACTACCACAAGGAAAGGGTTTTTTTTTTTTTTTTGTTGTTCTTTCATGAGTTTTTGTGGACGGTACAAAGCATGTTTTTGTGCCCAAGCTTTTGAGTGTTCTGCAGTGCAGGACAATAAAATTGCAATTTCTGTACGGTATGTACAGTATGTACAAAGGGGGGTACAGGGGGTCCCACGCAATAGTGCTATACCGGAACAGACCTCGACATATGGCACTATTGCGTGAATGGCACTATACTGAAAGCGCCAAAACACAATCATTTACATACAGTTGTCTCTGATCGCTCGCTTCAAACAGGACATGTTCAAACAGGACATGTCCTGTTTGAAGCGAGCGATCAGAGATGCCAGGCTTTGAAGCGGAATTCTACTGTACCTCTCAATAGGCGACAGCTGCGAACGTCCCTGCCCTCCCCCCCTGTCCGCTCTCTCCTCCCTTGCACTCGCTCTACCCCTCCCCCCCTGCGGCGCCCCGCCCAGATGTTCTCTGCCAAAGTCAAGCAGCAGATCCCGTGCCCGCTGTGCGTGATGCGGCGCTACGTGCTGTGCGACATGTGCAGCGGGCACACGTGTATGAACACGTGTAGGAAGTATGATAACCGTGCCAAGGCGTTTTGCATAGCACTAATGCGTGGGAAGCACTACTCAAAGTGGCACTATTGCGCGACCCCCCCCCCCCTGTAATTGGGAAAGACAGACAGACAGACAGACAGGGAGACGTAGTGAGAGTGCCAACAAAACAGCATCCGTGATTGATGTGAGTGTGGCTGGACAGTAGAGTAGCGGTAGTTTTTAGTGGCAGTAGATGTAGTTGGAGGTCATTTTGAGATGGCACTAAAAATACTCGTTTACCGTACCATTGTCACAAGTCGGTCTCGTCAGGTGGCAAAGAGTTGTCTCACGAATATTTGGCCATGAAGCGTTGATGAAAGGTACGCATACGTGTAATGACGTCCTTAATTTCATGCTCTGGTGGTAAGAAGGTGGTCCTAAAATGATATGTGCCTTCTTGTTGGAGAAAGCCCGAGCCCGGGACGACGCAAATGCCGGTGGCATCCAGCATCTCAATGCAGTAAAGCACGTCTGCAGAGGCCATTCCTCGTGCGGCGGCCTCCGTGATGGCAGCGGGGGGTAGGGTGATGCTCGGAAAGAGATACATGGCGCCCTCCGACGGGTGGCACTTGACGCCCTCGAGTGTATTAAGACCGTCTGACATTGCAATAGCCTTGTTACGAAGGGCTGTATAAATTTCGGTTGTCTCCTTGTTATACAGGTGGTACGAAGGGTCGCCCGGCTGCGGCGGGTTCATCATGAGGTCGATGGCGACCTGGCCAATGATGTTTGAGCAGAGCGAGACGGACAAGACCTTGTATATGAGGTCCTGGACATAGGGGTCGATATTAAGGACCTCCATGTAGCCCGCGCGCAAGCCGCACTCGCCCATGAGGCCCTTGGATACAGAGTGGAAGGAGACGAGCTCGACGTCGGCGGCCATTTCGGTGACGACGCTCTTGAAGGAAACAAAGGGTTTGTCGGGGGTGTAGACATTGTTCTGATAGACCTCATCGGCCATGAGGACCAAGCGTTCTCGGTCGCAAAAGGCGACGACACTCTCAATATTGGAGCGCGACAGGACCTGGCCCGTGGGGTTTCCCGGGTTGATGACGACGAGTCCGCGGACGGTAAGGCCTTTGGCACGGGCGTCGGCGAGGCAGCGGTGCAACTCGTGGACGTTGAGGCTCCAGCCATTGTCCTCGTCGAGGTAGTAACCGACGTGCTGGCCGCCAAAGGCGGTGATAGAAGCAGTGTAGAGCGGGTACTGCGGGATAGGGATGAGGACGGCGTCGGTGCGATGCCTGACGAGGATGGAGAGGATAGTCTTAACGGCCTCGCTAGCGCCATTGGTGAGGTAAATATTGTGCGGGCTAGCCGGCACACCG